ATCTTTATTTTTTTTAAAAAGAAGGGAAGAACGAATATGGTTGAGCCATTGGCCAAATAGTGTTGTAATTAATATAGTTTCTGTGCAATTATTCAGGTCTGGACACCCGGGAAACATAAGCACAGTCTCCAGTTACAGTCTTTGTCTGTCTTCCTTGATGGACAGAGGGGCGAGAAAGGGGGAAATGCCAAGTGAAGACAATTCCATCCCTAACCTGAGCAAGCGGTCTCCCATCAATCCCTTCTAAATTTCATTCTATAAGAGCTGAATATTTCCTTTACTGGCTCCAAGCTCAGGCTTCGGTCAGCCCAGTTCCCTCAAGTGTGAGTTGAGGGCGGCCTTGGCCTCCCTTACTCACAGGTCACCGGAGCTGACCCTGCAGAGGCACTGGTGTGGGGGGGCATGCTGGGAAGAAAAGGATGGTCACAAAAAAATGAGGATCAGGCCCGCGTGGACAGATTACATGTGGCCTCTTACTCTTTCTGACACTGCTCCACCAAAGCCTAGAGGAGGGCCTGAGAAGGCTGTGTGCTAGCTCCTTCCTCCTTGTCTTTAGCCTACCTGCTCTCCTCAGAGGCCTCCGGGACCCTGAAACCTCCTCCTCAGCCCTGGTCCAGGGTCCATTCCACCAATGCACCCACCTCTTTCTTTTCCCTCCACCCCATATGCTTTCTTGTCTGCAGGGAGGCCAGTGAGCTAAGACTGGTGTGCCCAGGAACCAGCTGCCAGTCCTGCCTCTTCGGGTGACAACATGGCCTTGTTTTTCCTTACCTTTCCTGACCCGAGATCACAGGGGCTGTGGCCACATAGCTTGGGCAGGAAAAAAAATCCCTAAATCTGGCAGTCTTGTGGGTCAAGGAAAGGTGTACTCCCAAACACAGTGAAAGGAACTGGCAGCCTTCATCGTTACTACCCAGTGTTAATATTTAATGCCAGAAAACAGCGGTTCCCCTTTCCGCATGCCATCAGGCCTTCCGGGTCACACCAACCATACTCTCCCGGCCTGGCAGCCCCGCAGCTCCCTGAAAAGATCAGCCAAGCAGTTAGACATCCCTGAAATATTAGGTGTGAAGCGAATTCTCAAAAAAGCAAATTCAAATTGAATAAGTGGAGAATTTCCCGACTGCATTTGAAATTAAGCCTATTCTTTATAGCTCTCTAATAAGCGTTGCTCAAGGGTCCAGAACATTTTAAAAGTGGGGCACGTAATCTGTGCAACCTTTAATATAAAGGGTTTGGTTACTCTGTTTTCTGTGTGCTTAATAGCCCAGCCATAGTTCAGCAGGGGCCACACAGTCTGGACACAACCAAGGAAACCCCCGGGAACTGATTGGTACCCCGAGATAAAGTCAGGATCCCAAAAGGACAGGATTAACTATCGCTAAAGCGGTTGACTGATTCCTATCAGAGCTAACTTCTTTCTCCACCTGCGGCACTATTAGCTTTGGGGGAGAGACCCTTCTTCACCATACAGCTCTATGCCCAGCATTGTGGCCTCCAAAAGCACAAGAACCCGTTGCCAAGCAGCAGTGGGTAAGGGCAATGTACCCCAAATGTTTCAGGTACAGCAGGCTGGCACAGAAGGGGATTCCCCCCCCCCCCAACAAGTCTCTATCCGGAGGCAGGATCAGGAGCTTTTCTCCATAAGGTGTGCTGAAAGGGCGCCCCGGTCCACTGCAGCTCACCCTTCAGCTCCCCACTTCACTCCAAGAAGCAGCCTCCTCCTCTCCCTGCTTGGAGTACCACACGTCTACTGCAGTGGGGAGTGGCTCTGCTTGGCAAAGCTTTCATCTTTAAGACTTCAAAGAACAGCCTAGCAAAAATGCCCGGGGCACAATTTTCCGGGATCCAGGAAACCAGGTGATTCACCTGCACCCACACTGCCTGTGATCCCAGCTCGCCTCCCGAGACTGAACCACACCTAAGAGGCCTCACCTTGCCACCAGTGCAAGGCACGGTCTGGGTCCCTCGTTGGACTGGAAAGGCCCTTCAGGGGACCGGAAATAGATGTTTTCATTTCAAGGAGTCCTTTCCCTCTATGGTTTTCTTGTTTGTTTGTTGTTTTGAGACCAGCCTTAACTGATGTAACTGAAGATTCTGAAGAACTTGTGATTCTCCCACCTCAGCCTCCCAAGTGCTGGGAGCATGACTCACCACGCTGGGATGAGGAGGGTGATGATGGTGGTGGTGGTGGTGGTTTTAGTTTAGATTGAGACAGGGTTTTGCTAAATTGTCAAAAACTGAACCCTCCAACTCACCACATAGCCCAGATAGGCCTTGAACTTCCTATCGTCCCACCTCATCTTCCCAAGTAGCTGGGATTAGAGTTGCACCACCTTACGTGGATAAACATCAGCATTTGAATAGATTCCACTGAGAAATAACACTCAATACCAGAGATTAACTCTCGGGCCTCAAGCATGGTAAACACACACAGTACCGCTGAGCTGTATCTCCAACCCTTTTCAGCAGTTTGTTGCTGTGGTGGGTGGTGTTTGAGGCAGGGTCTCACTAGGTAAATCCAACTGGCCTTGGGCTAGTCATAAGCCTCTGGCTTCTGCGTCTGCATTGCCTGCACACTGGCGCCGGGGACACAGAGGGACTGCTTGTCACACTCGCCTTCCATTCGTGTGGATCCGGCTCTCCGCATAATGACCAGAAGAGCAGTGTTAGGATACCCAGCTTCACAAACCAGTGAAGTGATTTCCTTTACCGTTTATTGTATTATAAAACTCAGGGACAACATAAGAAGCTCAGACAGTCACCAGAACCACGATACACCTGCCACCGTTTGACTCCTGGCTCCAAACGTCAGAAGGGGCGGGCAAACCCCCCCCCACACACACACACACACTTTTTCCCTCATTCTCATCCTGAGTCCACCAGCTGAATGCCAACTCCGCCTCTTGAACCAAATGAAAATATTCTACTCAATTGCACAATGAACCATGACACACAAAAATGTCCGTAACAAACCACCCATAGAGGGCCAAGGATGCCCAGCCCTGACACTCACGGTGAAGCTGTACTGGAGGAGCTCTCATTTGGTTCCCTCCCTAAAGGAACCAACCTCACCAACCACCTTTCTAACCTAGTCCCCTAGGGTATGAGCAGCTAGCCTGGTCAGGGACCTCCCAGACAGGCCCTCTGGCCCATTTCCAGACAGCAACAAGAGGCCTCTTTCAGGTACCTAGTTTAGACCCAGATACTGAGGAAGGGTGACCTGAGTGATGGTTTATATTGGTTGTCAACCTAATAGGGTCTAGCATCACCTTGAAAGACAAACCCCTGGACATGTACCTGAGGGGTTTTCTAGAATAGTCTACACAGAGTTTCAGAACAGTCAGGGCTACATACATAGTAAGACACTATCTCAAAAGGAAAAAGAAAAAAAAAAGGAGGGGGGGTGGATATGGAGTCAAACACCAGCGTATCTTCCCCTTCCCTGCCCCGCCCCCGCTCTCTCTCTTTCTCTCCCAATGTGACCAGCTGCGTCCAGCTCCTACCTCCATGACTCCCCTATGACATACTGTGCCCTCAAACTGCGAGCTGAAATGAACTCTTCCTTCATGACACCTAGAAAAGGAACTAATACACCCTGGAACTTCTGGACCAATTAGAGCTATGTCATTTAGATACTACCAATACCAGGAGGCACCCAGGAGATGCTCTTTGGGGGAGATGCTATCACGGTTTAGGCTTTTTCCTCATCCCACTCAAGGGAACAGTGCATGCTCATCCCTGAGTGACAGCTGGAGGTGCAGCCCGGGTTCAGCAAGAGACCTGAACATTTCGGAGATGCCAGCACCGTGGGATGGCCACCGAGAACAGCAGCGGCAATAGAGTAGAGTCAGCTAGAGCCTAGAGGACAAGCTGTGTGTGCTACTAAGGGTGGAGCTGGATGTGCCACCGAGGGCAGAGCCAGAGAAGTAACCAAAGGCTTTGAAGGAGCCCGAAAGATCCTGCGTGGATCCCAGATAATTGGACACTGAGTTAGCCACAGTGTTAGAGTTTGGTTTTGCCTTGTTCAAACTGTGACTGTGCCCTGGTCCTTGAAGTAAAAAAAAAAAAAAAAGTATTTAACTTTTTTTTTTAATTTTACAGGAGCCCACAGTTGAGATACTTCAAACTTTAAAGAGATTTTGAAATTTTACAAAGACTTTGGATTTTAAGATACTAAATATTTTAAAGAGATTAGATTTTTTAAGTCTTTGAATTTTTAAAGACTGTGGGACTCTTAAAATTTGGAATATCTTATATAGTGGTATTCCTAGTAATGTGAGATCTTGGGGATGAATAAGAAAAGAAAGGTTATGACTTAATAGTGATGTGATTGTGTCAAGTTGGCAGGGGTCATTGTGCTAGCTCATTTTCTGCCGACTTGTCACAAGCTAGACTCATCAGGGTATATAGGCGATTGGCGTAGTGGGATTGCAAACTCATTCCACCAGATCCCAGCTTCTGATTTTAAATTTTGTGTGGGTGTGCACTCGGCGTGTGTGCATGAGCGTGGGTGTCCGAGGAGGCCAGGGGCTTCAAGCCTTTAGAGCAGAAATTATGAAAGGTCGTGAGCCACCTGATATAGTTGCTGGGGGCCGAACTCTGTAGCAAGTGCGTGTGTGTGTGCGTGTGTGCGTGTGTGTGTACAGGCATGTGCATGCTGCAGCACAGATATAGAGAAAACAACTGTACAGAATCAGCTCTCTCGTTCCAAACCTTTACCATATCCAACATTATATGAGTACCAGGTACCCAAATTCAGACCCCCACATGTGCACTTCATCTGCTGAGCCATCTTGCCATCCCTGATTAGTTTGCTCAAAGAAAGCCTGTGTCCTACGGATCCGAGAAACAGGCCTGCACCGGCTAGCCCTTCCTTATTCTTGATGACCAAACCCTAGCGCTCTCAAATATTGCTTGTGGAATTTGAGAAATGTGAACAATGGGAGGTGGGGGGCCGGGGGGGGGGGGGGGGGGCCACATCTCAGTTGGTAACGTACTTGCCTGGCTTCCATTCCCAGCTCTGCAGAAAGCCAGGCAGCCTGTCATCTCAGCACTCAGGAGACTCGGGGCTTTAAAGTCATCCTCGGCTAGGTAGCAAGTTCAGGCCTGCCTGGGCTAGGAACTCTGTCACGAAGAGAAGGAAATGTGAATATGACATGGGGACCGGTCTCTTTTATGTCGTATCTAGTGGAAGGGATGAGCAAGCTGGGAGGGTGACTTCTGTGTGTCTTAAAGTCTTGTGGAATCCTCTGGCGACATGTGGCTGTCTTTAGGGCTGTTAACCCCTGACTCCATGGGACTGTCAGCCTGAGAGGTGAGCAAAGCAATCCTACACCCATTATTGTCTCCCTTCCTCCTCTCCCCTTTGGAGGACCAGTAAGTCCACAGGGGATGGCAAAGTAGCGCTTTACAAATGGCTCTGTGGCATTTGTCCCAGGGGCCACCAGCTCTTGCTGCACCAGCTGTTCTGACCATACTGTTTTTATCTGCAACTGCCTCCCAGATCCTTTAAGGATAAGCCCAGTTAGCAAGGATGTGTATACAGTCAAACCCCTCGGAGGTGTATGCATTCTGCAAGCCCTAGTCAGGTCCTGTGGAACAAATACCTTTGGCCATTGGTTTTAACCCTGGGCCAGACTGCTACTTCTCAGTGTCTCCCAAATGAGAGCTCAGGCCAAGTTCTTCTATCCTCTTTCCCTCTGGCATTAACCATTTGTCAATCATCAGGGCCTTCTCTCGGCAGGGGGACAGATCCCATTTTAACAGGCTCCAGGTTGAGGATGTGCTATTTGCCGTTGGTTGATGGACAAGGTATAGAGGCCAGAGAGTAAAAATTGCTAATAGTGAGGAGGGGGAGATCTAGGTGCCTGTTGTATAACTGTTGTGTGCTGTGGGATAATGTTCCCACACTGTAAAGATTTGTCACTCACATTGGTTTAATAAAACACTGACTGACCAATAGCCAGGCAGGGAGTATAGGCAGGGCAACCAGACTAGGAGAATTCTGGGAAGAGGAAAGGCAGAGATGCAGTCACCAGCCTGGCACAGAGGAAACAAGATGAGAATGCCTTACTGAGAAAAGGTACCAAGCCACGTGGCTAAACATAGATAAGAACTGTAGGTCAATTTAAGTTGTAAGAGCTAATTGGTAATAAGCCTGAGCAACAGGCCAAACAGTTGGGTTCCCAGCTCCCACACTGAACAGTTTTTAAGCACCTGTGACTCCAGCTCCCTGGGATCCAACACCTTCTTCTGGTTTGCTCAGGCACTACAGATAGGCTCATATACACACAGAGACAGACACATAAATAAGTCATAAAATAAATCTGTTTTAACAACAGAGGAAACATTTGGAGCCACAACGTGATTGCTGCCTAGATTATAGTGATGGCGTCACAGATGGATGTGAGTGTCGAAATGGATCTAGGGGCTGGAGACGGCTAAGTAAGTAAAGTGCTTGCCAAGCAAGTATAGGGACGTAAGTTCAGATTTCCAAAGCTCGTGTAAAAAATTGGACACTGTAGTGAGTTCCTATAGTTCTAGCATTGAGGAAGCAGAGGCAGACCAGTCTAGCCAGATCAATGAAGATCGGATGAAGTGAGAGGCTCCGTCTCAAAACAAAAGGTAGAGAGAGGCTAAAGAAGACATCCAACATCAATCTATGATCTCCATGTGCACTGCACACACACACACTCATACAAAAAAATTTAAATATCAAATTTCGTACCTCAAACACAGGCAAATGAAAGATAGATATTCTTGGAAAGTACATATCAATACTTGTCTAGTCTCCAAGGACAGAGCCTCTGCTTCCACTCCCCAGTGCTGGGAGCTCACCTTCACTCACGGCTTCGAGAAACCATTGGGACTTTCTCCAAATGTTCAAATTCTCCAGCATCACATCTTCAAAAACAAAACAAACAAAAGTGAGCAACAAACACAGCCTGGAGGGTCCCTGCATTGGTGAGCCCAGACAAAGCTCCCCTCCCCCAACCTGTCCCCTCTCTCTTAGATCACCAGCTAAAGGGCGTGCAGAAACCAGGCTCCTGGGGAGGAGCATCTATTTCCACCTTTTCTTCTCTCCGCTTCTTCCTGTTCTTCCTTCTCTAGTGACTGTGCATGGCAGGAACTCCAGACCAGTCACCAAAATAGTGTGCCTCGACACCTTCATCTCTTAATTATAGTAAACATTTACATAATGCTGGGCCCAGCCAGTGCAGAAAGATTCGTTAATGCAGAAACATGCCCTTTAACCATCCCGTTTTATTACACAAAGCCCCTGGGGACCTGAGCAGCTCAAGATTTGCAAAAGATGATGGAGAAATTGGCGGAGATATTAAGCCCCTTTCCAGGTGCAATTAAAAGTGGGACCAAGAGCCTCCCACTCTCACAGACAGAGGCTTGGTTTTTGTTGTTGGGTTTTTTTTTTTCCTTTCGAAATCAGCCCTGTACGGATTCCAGGTATCTGATGGTTCCCCCGAATTTCTAACATTTTCAGAAATGGGAGCTTGGTCTTGATTCTCATCTTCACTGCTCAGACTCTGAACCGACAACCCTTCAGGGTTTGCTGTGTGGTCTAATATTTCCATCCCAGCAACTGAGCCTTGGAAATGAGCAGCAAATATGAGTATCTTCCATGTCTTCGATTCTCTAACACAGCCCCTCTCTGGAGGGACCAACTTTAATCACATTGCCTGGAGCAATACCCAGCTAGCCTGAGGAGGGGCAGACCAAGCCAGGCTTAAAGGAGGCACTGGACCACCATGGTAGGCTCCCTGTTTCGAGAGGATTTGGACTATTATACAGGGAAAGTCTCCAGAAGATAGGAGAGGGAGAATGAGTCACATTTTTAGGTTTTAATGTGGTACGCATGCTGTGTGTGTGTGTGTGTGTGTGTGTGTGTGTGTGTGTGTGTGTGTAGGTCAAAAGACAACTTCCTGGACTACATCCTCTCCTTTCACCATGTGGGTCCCAGGAATCAAACTCAGGTCATCAGATTTGGCAGCAAGTCCCTTCACATGGTGAGCCATCTTGCTGACTTCTTTTAGCTTTGAGAGAGATCTTGCTCTGTAGTCTGAGTGACCTTGAACTTGCTGTGTAGACCAGGCTAGCTTTAAACTTGCAGCCAATGTCCCTGTCTCTACCACTCTGAGAGCTGTGGATTATAGATTTGCATCATTATATCCAGTGTTTCCTGGGGGTGCATCCATGTGTGCATGCACACGCTCCTGTGTGTGTGACGGGGGGAAGGTGGGTGTCACAGTACACTTATGGGAGTCAGAGAATAGCCTCAGGTACCAGTCGTTGTCTTTTGCCTTATTTGAGACAGGTCTCTGCTGCTCACTGCTGTGGAAGCTAGCTGGCCCTGAAGATGTTGGAGACTTTTCTGCCTTTTTCTCCCCTTTCACTGTAGGGCTGTGCTGGGTAGGGCTGGGCTGAGATTACAGACTAGGACCCTATCATGCCCTGCCATGTTTAACTTTTGAATGGGTTCCAGGGATCTGAATCCACAGCAAACACTTCACCCCCTAAGAGATCTCCCACTTAATTTTGGTTTTTTGGTTTTGTTTATTTTTATTTTATGTACATTGCTGGTTTACCTGTCTGTGTGAGGGTGTTGGGTGCCCTAGGACTGGAAGTACAGACAGCTATGAGCCACCATGCGGCTGCTAAGAATTGAACCCAGGTCCTCTGGAAGAGCAGTCGGTACCCTTAACCACTGAGCAATCTGTCCAGTTCCTCACTTTTGTTTTATTATGTAGCCTAGGCTGGACAAACTCAGGATCCTTCTGCCTCTACCTCTAAATGCTGGGATTACAGGTGCAAACCTCTGAGTCTGACTTCAAAGCTGAGCTTTCTCCACCATCCCGGTTCATACTCCAGGCTGTATGAGCTGGTGAAAAGAACCCCTCCTTTCTAGGCTTGGGCTGGAAAGCTATGGTCATAGAGCCCCTTGGTTCCAGTGCTATGTGGCTTTTGTAAGGCAGCTCTGAATGAGCCACGAGTCAATGCTGCCGAAGTCATCGGCACACCATACTGAATAGCTGCTGAGAGATGCCAGTGTCGGTTCCTCTCCATCCCTGGGATCCCTGGCGTCACTGCAAGACCTCCCTAAGCTAAATGCTTCTGCAGCATCATACACCCTCCTCCCTACACTTGGAAGATGAAGTAAGCATGCACCAAGTTGGCTTCCTGAAGCCCACCTCCAAGTTGTCCACCCAGACTGGCAAGAGCAAAGCCTGGACTGAAACTGGCTACTGGAAGGGAGATGGTGGTCAGATGCGGGCAGAGTGGCTAGGGAGGCAAGGATGTGGAGGGCAAGGTAAGAAGGGAACCTGCAGAGAGGTTCAAGGGCAACGAAGCAGGAAAAGCCAAGGCCAGAGAGGCGGAGAGACAGATACCAGCACAGGAGGCAGAGCAAGAATGGGCACTCTAGGCCAGCCTGGGCTACACAACCAGATCCAGTTCAAAACAAACAAACAAAAAACCCAGGGCTGAAACACAGCTCAGTGCCTATTGCGACGCTAGCACGTGTTTGATTTCCCAGTATTAAAAAGAGCAAAAGCAGGAGGAGAAGGGGCTGAGAGAAAAGGGACATAACAGAACACAGCTGTAATCCCAGCAGTTGGGGCTTGGAGGCAGGAGAATTGCTGAAAGCCCAAGGTCATCCTGGGCTACACAGTGAGTTGCAGGCCAGCCAGGACTACGGGAAGACATCCTCTCAAAGCGGCCATCACTTGGGCTAGCCAGATTACTCAACAGGTAAAGGTATTTTCTGCCAAACTGCAATTCCTGCGTTCCACCCTCAAGACTCACATCATAGGAGAGAATCAGCTATCCAAAGTTGTCCTCTGACTTCCACACACTCCCTGTGGTGTGTGTTCATAATACATGCTCACACACATACACTATACACACACACACACACTTTCACATACTCCCAGTGGCATGTGTACACACAGCATACACACATACACACACACACTCACTGTGGCGTACAGCATGCATACATACACCTGCCTCCAAACACTCATTGTGACATATGCTCATATACACACACATACACAGACACACACACCTCCATACACTTTTTGTGGCATGTGTGCACACATACACACTCACACACACATACGTACCTCCATACACTCACTGTAGCATGTTGAAGCACAATTAATAAAAACTCAGAGACAGAAATTGGGGTTCAACCTAAAGACCAGAAAAGCAAAACAGGCAGCCACTGGCTCTTACCTCTACCTCAGTCTGAAATGACAATCCTGCCTCCAGGAATTTCAAAATGAGACTGTGTGTGAGAGCTCGCTCCTCCCATTTTATAATCCTCTCTAGTTCAGGGATTAAGGGTGTGCACCACTACCACCTGGTTTTTATGGCAAACTAGGGTGGCTATTGGGATTAAAGGTATGTGTCATTGCTGCCTGGTCTGTAAGGCTTCCAGTGTGGCTCTTTTACTTTTCTAGTCCTCAGGTAAGCTTCATTTATTAAAATACACATGAAATACTACTATAGCATGTGCTCACTTACATGACGTGCACACTCAACTCAAGCCAGGCTTGCAGCAGGTACTTGGAATCCGACCCTTGAGAGGTGAAGATGGGAGGATCAGGGCTCAAGGTCATCCTTGATTGTGTACTGAGTTCAAAACCAGTCTGGATTTCATGAGACCTTGTCTCAAAAGGTCAAGAATAAACCAGGCAATGGTCACACACACTTTTAATCCCAGCACTCAGGAGGCAGAGGCAGGCAGATCTCTGAGTTTGAGACCAGCCTGGTCTACAGAGTGAGGTCCAGGACAACCAGAGCTATGGAGTGAGACCCTGTCTCCAAAAAAAGCATTAAAAAAAAAAAAAGTACCCCAGGCCATAGTGGTACACACCTTTATTCCCAGCTCTCTGGAGGCAGACAAGAGACAAGAACTCTATGGGTTTGAGGCCAGCTTGGTCTACAAAGAGAGTTTCAGGACAGTTGGGGTTACACAGAGAAACATTGTCTCAGATTTAAAAAAAAAAAAAAGCCAAAAATAAAATAAAATGTAAATACTTCAACTCAAACTGGCATAAGTCTGTGGTATTAGAGCCCCTTGGCTTGAGCCAGGGTATAAAGTACATTTCCACTTTGGCTCTTTGACACATACATCCACGTCACCAAATGAAAATTCCGTGCGACACTACTGCCCGGGATGTACTCTGCTGTCCTCGCTGTTGCTCTCCTTGTCCTGGCAGAAAGTTTTCATTGGTGGCTATGGGAAGCGGCTTAACTGATTTTATGGCCCATTGATGAGTTCTGATCCACAGCTGCAAAAGAACCACCTTAAGTTCTAAGGAAGCCAATGGTACAAAAAGGGCATGTTGGGTACATTCTGAAGTTCACTTACAGCTACAAGGAACTGGATATCTCCGGTGTCATCAGCATTGTGTTGGAGGTCCTGAAGGGCTCATGGCCATCCAAAGCCACATGTAGGCAGACCTGAATCTAGAGGAAGAAAAAGGCGGGTTAGACTCTGAGCAAGGAAGGTTTCCAGTATTTCCCAGAAGCCCCACTAGATCTCTCCTTGGTATGAGAGATCTGGTATGTGGCCAGTCATGAATTAGTTTTCAGCAGGTTGACAGGAGTCAGGGGTTCAGCCATATCATATCTTCTACAAAGGCATGTTTTCCTTATGGATGCCATCCAAGAAACACCACTCTCGGGGTTTTTGAAATCAGTGACAAGGTTAAATGTGGCGTCAGACAAGGCTCCACGTGGATCCCTAGCACTCTGGATCCCTAGCACGCTGGATCCCTAGCACGCTGGACTCTGAGGATGAAAGGCATACCTGGTGCTTACCGACGTGGGGGTCAAAACCAGGAGTGGGCAGAGGACAACTCCCACTAGGAACAACATGGGGGCCTGCTCTCCGAGTGTAGCCTGGAAGGCTAAAGGCAGTGCTCACATCGGTACCAGATCCCAATAACTGCCGTAACACACCCAGTTACGGCAAGTGGGTGCCAGTGTGGGGGGGATTGAGGACAGCAGGCATATTCAGACGGGTGAGACCTGGAGAAGTGAGGTTAGAGCCAGGCTGAGTCTGAAGTGGAACTCAGTTTACAAGAAGGACCATGGGGTCTCCTTTGGTCTGATTTCGGCTGCTATAATAACACAATGCCACAAACTGGCGGGTTCATTTTACTAGTTTGTTTGTTTGGTTGGTTTGGTTTCTCAAGAGAGGGTTTCTGTGTGAAACAGTCCTGGCTGTCCTGGAACTCACTCTGTAGACCAGGCTGGCCTCAAACTCACAGAGATCCACCTGCCTCTGTCTCCCGAGTGTTGGGATTAAAGGTGTGCGCCACCACCACCCAGCAAACTGGGGAATTTATAAAGAGCAGAACCTGAAGAAGGCCCTCCTCATCCCATCCTCACATGGCAAAAGGAAGAAGGGTGAAAGAAAGAGATTTTTGTACTCACAAGGCAGAAGAGAGGAAAAGGCCCACTCTATCTAGCAAGCCTTTCCCTTAACCTCCCTCAGCTGCTCATGACTTAAATACTTCCCATTAAGCCTTGCCTCCCGACACCTTGGCAATGTAGATTTCCACAGGTGCTTTGGAGGAGACAAATATTCCAACCAGAGCAGGGAGTGTCTTGAGGAATGGTCCCTAGGGGTAAATTTTAAAGGCAAAGATTAGAGTATTGTGCTGAACGTGGAACATCACATTTCTAAAGTCAGTGTTAAAGAGGCTGAGGCAGGTGGATCACAACTTTGAGGCCAGCTGTAACTACAAGGTAAGTTGCAGGCCAGCACAGTTTACAAAGTGTGACTTTGTCTCAAATAGGTGGATAAATAGGCTATGGTCCTCATCCAGATGTGTTCCAGTGAAGTGCCCAGTACCTGCAGCCGAATACAAACATTCGCTCACAGCCTCTCAGGCTCAACACCCATCTGCCGGAGCATCTTGACCGGAACTGGAAGACCTTATTTCCTCAAGATTTAGCAAGCTGGTGCAGGCTGCTTCCTGACAGCTCAGTCAGGGCCATGATTCTTCCTGAGGTCAGGAGGGGGGACCTCCCTGTAAGGTTACTTGGTCTCCTCCACTGCACAGTGAATGGGTTCCAAGAGAGACTGGAAGCTGCCAGGCCTCTTCAGGTCTAGGCCCAGCATCTGGTCACCATCTGCTATTGGTCAAAAGGATCCCACTTGGAATCCAACTCGGATTCCAAGGGGGGGAGCATACCTTGTCAGCTTTCTCGGGCTGCCATAACAAACTGCCACCAAGAGAGCAGCTTCAGTCATTGAGGATTCATTGAATTGGCTCTCTCCATTAGCCATGTAGGTCTCCAGTACGGATCAATGGGAGCTCATCAAAACTGGCAGCAAATGCCCTTATCCACTGGCTCATCTCAGCGGCCCAACACCTCAGCTTTGAACTTCTACCTTCCAGAACTCGTGTGTGGGGGGGGGGGGGACTCAGGGCTTTGTGCACACTGCGCAAGGATTCTAAGTGCTAAGCTATATCCCGAGTGTGTGTGTGTGTATGTGTATATGTGTGATAGAGATGGAACCCAGGCCTTTGTATATGCTGTACAAGGATTCTAATGCTAAGCTATATCCCAAGTATGTGGCTAGAGTGTTCAATCTCTGTTTGCAGTGGTTTCTGTCTTGTGGCCTGTCCTCCTTCAGGAGAAATGCTCTGGCCAGCCATAAGCAATATGGGCATTTGCAATAAGCCATGTTTGGGGCACAGAGGCCATGCTACAGCACCTGCTGCCAATGGCAGGTCAAATGGCAAGTAAAATGCCCCATGAAAGCACTCCGATCCCACAGGTTTAACCACAAGGAGAGGACTTGCGGTCCAGGGCAGGGGGCAGGTCTAAGATTCATTAGTAGGCAGAGGAAAGGCCCAGGCTGTGGCCTCAGCTAGGAGCTTGGCAGGCCTCCGAAAATGCTTACTGCTGGAAGAGAGAGGGAGGCAATGAGGTCATGGGCCCAGCACAAGAACGTCATCATCTCCTGAGGCCTCCCATAGATGCGCTGGGCCCCAGTCTTCCTCCCAAGCAAGCATTTCCATCCTAGACCTCGTGGAAAATGGGAGGCAGAAGCAGGCATCCCCCTGCTTCCGTCCTCCTCTCCTCACACAGCCGTGGGCTCAGGAAGAAAGATGTCTGCTGCGTCAGGAAAAGGGAAGTCAGGTATTGAAAACCTGGCAAAAGTGAGGCCAGCTGAGGGCTGCTCTGACAGCAAGCGGGACCACTGGTGGCCAAATCAAGGGGTCCAAGAAGGGAAACAGGCTGCCTGGGCCAAGACAACTGGGCCCCAGTCCCGGTCACTGTCTCACACACACGGACTTTGCCACCCATAACCCACTACTCAGGCTCTCATGCAATGAGCAGATAGTCGAACCGTCGTAAAGCAATTGTTGTCTGTCACTGGATGGCACTTTTTGGCCCTGGGAAACTAGACTACTTAACAGTTGTTTGTTTTTATAAACCCCTATAGTCAGTGGGACAGTGGTGGCGCACGCCTTTAATCCCAGCACTCAGGAGGCAGAGGTAGGCGGATCTCTGTGAGTTCAAGGCCAGCCTGGTCTACAAGAGCTAGTTCTAGGACTGCCAGAGCTGTTACACGGAGAAACCTTGTCTCGAAACAAAACAAAACAAAACAAAAAAGTATAAGTAAATCCTAAATTCTAAGAGAAAGGAAAAAGCAAGGAAGGTCTAGGGATTCCAGAGGCGGGTCCGTTGGTAACACGCTTGCTGTTTGGATTCCCAGCACTCCTATCCACAAGCTGGGTATAATAACACAGAACTGTAAACCCAGAGTTGAGGGAGCAGAGACCGCGGTATCCCCAGCTTGTGGACCAGTCAACGCAGCTGTGTTCGGAAGCCCCAGGGTCAATGAGAAACCTCACCTCAAAAAATAAAATAGGGGGGCTGGCAAGATGGCTCAGTGAAGCCTGACAACCTGAATTGGATCCCCAGGACCCACATGGTGGAAAGAGAGATACGACCTTGATCCGACCTTTACAAATTACCCTCTGGCTTTCACACTAGTGGTGTAGTATACACATGTACATACATATACATGCACCCACACACACATGTATATACACGCACATGCATGCACACACACACAAATATAATTCTTTAAAATGTTTAAAGTAGAGATAGAGGAAGATAGCCAACATCAAACTCTAGCTTCCACAAGAATGCATACACATATGCATACACATGTGAATACCTACACATGCATATACCACAAGCACATAAAGTATTTTATTAAACCCATATGAGTTCCTCATTTTCTACTCCTGCCCTCCTTCCTTCAGGTAAACCAACAAGAATTCCATTTCTGTTCAGTTGTTTGAAACAAAATGGCTTTCAGTCAGGCCCGGGAAAAATCAGAAAGCCTGGGCAAGCCTGGGCCCTGCCATTCCCAACACGCAGAGCAAGTGACAGAAACACAAAGCTGGGATTTGCCTTTTTGCTGGAAGCTCTTTCCCCTCAGTAGCCCTAGACAGTAGCCAGACCTGGGTGTTCTCCAGCCCCAGACTCTTAGGGCAAGCCTACCACTGATGTTATCAGAGACCTGGGAGGCAACCCCTCCTTCCAGGTTTTGTTTTCAACGGGAGCCAAAGCTTTAGAAGGATTATCTGGGATCAGCTGTTCCCGGAGCCTGTTGGAAGCACACAGACCCATATTTTTTAATAATTATGTTAGTATTTTGATGTGCTTGGAAAAAGAACTGCATTGGCTTAACATTCTGCTTAGGAGGAAGCTAAAGTGTTCCGGGTTGTGTTTCTTTTCCTTTTTTCCTGCTTGTTTGGTTTGTCTTCAAAACAGGGTTTCTATGTGCAGCTCTGGCTGTCCTGGAACCTGCTCTGTAAACCAGGCCAGCCTCAAACTCACAGAGACCCACTTGCCTCTGCCTCCCGAGTGCTGGGATTAAAGGCGTGCACCACCACACGCGGCTTCTCATTTTCTTTTTTAAGGAGAAAGATGATTGAAGGATCTGGGGAGACGGCTCAGCAGTTAAGAGCACATTTTCTGCTCTTCTAAAGAACCTGAGTTCAAGTCTTAGCACCCATGTCAAAGTACTCAATTCCCTTAATTCCAGCTCCAGGAGAATTCCCGTGTCTCTGGTCTCTGCAGGCACCTGCACATAGGAACACCTATCACCCACCCCCCTCCCACACACATACACAAATTTAAAACTAAGTATTTTGGTTTGATTTTGTTGCTGATATTTGGTTTTTTTTTTTTTCTTTTTTGACTTTTTGAGACAGTGTTTTTCTGTGTAACAGTCCTGACTGTCCTGGAACTCACTGTGTAGATCAGGCTGTCCTTAAACTCAGAAATCGCCCTGCCTCTGCCTCCCCATTGCTGGGATTAAAGTTGTGTACCAACATGCCTAGCTCAAGATGTGTGTGTGTGTGTGTGTGTGTGTGTGTGTGTGTGTGTGAGAGAGAGAGAGAGAGAGAGAGAGAGAGAGAGAGAGAGAG